TCTTGGCGAATATTAAGGAACTAAATGCACAAAGGCAGTCTCGTGAGGTGGGAATGAGTAGAAATCCCTACAATGTTCTATGCTAATTACACAGCATTGATTTATTTATTTATGCTTTTGATTCTTGGCTTGCTTATTCATTAGCTTTCGTACTTTCAGGAGACTTTGAGAAAAGCTGAAGAGATATTCGGGATGGATAATAAAGACCTCTACATATCATTTCAGGGTTTGCTAAACCGCAACATGAACTAGGAAATGCATTACAAGTGAAGTTTGTGCTTCAGTCTCTAAGCTTTAAAGGTTTTCTGTAGACTGACTCTGTGTATACACCTCATTATTTGACCTTTAAACATGGATATGTGAATACTGTTGATTGACATTTTCTTTAAAAAAAATGGTTGATTTTAGAAAATCCTTGCAAAAATTATTCAAAATTTGTGCAAGTTATATTGTTAGTACTTTATATGGCACTAATGTACGGTATATATGTAAATAACGACATTTGTTGTAGTGTCGTCGTTTGTGTTACACTTTTCTTAAGGGGTGTTTTTTTGGATGATTTGTTGCTAGCACTTGATGCCTCAAGCTAAGGGTAAGCCTCGTTAGGGGTTTACTGGAAGAAGAGTACTGATAATTGGCAAAGATTTAATGGTATGATTTTGAGATTTTAATTGCTTTGCACATCACTAGTGAGACTGATATCTTGACAGAGTTCGATGTAATGGAAGTTTTGCATTAGATTTATGAAAAAATAATACAAATTTTATTCTGGGCTGTACTTGGATTGGGTAAATGCTTTGCATAGGCTTTTTTGAAGTGGTCTGCCGCAGGCCCGCAAAGCTTGCTTTGATTTCTTTTGTTTGTTCTTATCAATTTTTTCCTATGCATGTAGAAAAATTGAACTAAAGGAGGAACTCATGTTGGTATAATTCAGTAGGAAATAATCACCATCCTTTATAATTATGAACTGATGGGTACGATTGATTCGAGAAACCATTCAAGCGTTTGCGACAAAATTTTTTGGTTTTTCACCATCGTAGGAACACTTTTAAGGATTGATTCTAGAAACCATTCAAGCGTTTGCGACAAAAATTTTTGGTTTTTCACCATCGTAGGAACACTTTTAAGGATTGATTCTAGAAACCATTCAAGCGTTTGCGACAAAAATTTTTGGTTTTTCACCATCGTAGGAACACTTCTAAGGAAAATGGTACA